TGTTAACGGCTAACTTCCTTCAATATCATATACAATATACGACAGTATTTATTTCTAGCCGTATCTACAGATTTATCTGGTCGAACGCCCTCTTGAGGCGTAACATTGTGTAATACAATGTTCCCGACGGTTATTTGGACCTGTTCAACCATGAAGCTTTCGTGGTCTAGTGGTCGCCTTGTCAACGAGAGGTCGCAGGTTCAAATCCCGTCGGAGGCATTTTATTACACATTGACTTTTTATAGGACTTTATTCGTTGAAATGCTACAGGGTAGCCTACGATGTTCCATCATGTCCTTATTAAACACTGTATATATGTATACACCGTATACATGTCCTTATTAAACACTGCATATATGTACCTTTGATGATTTACGTTACATGTATATATATATATATATATATATATATATATATAAACTCTGTACTACAGATATAGAAAGCTTTCAATCAGGTGGTAGGTAGATTTTCCAATTGTTATATTGGCGGCATTTGGATATTAGTTCAGATCTTTCATTTAATAGATTAGCTTTATTTGCATTAAAGATGGACATCTCATCAAGGCAAAGGCTGACAAGGCCCGTAGGCGGCGTTCTTTATGGACGAGTATTTCATTATGTTCATTTAATGCCGAGTCCCATATTATTATCTTTTAAAGACCAAATGTATTTAGATAGTTCGGATTCTTTGCTATATATTTCTTTCTTAAAAGATTTCTTAGGGTTGTTGTACCTTGTCTTGAATTGACAACCAGTCATGCCGGTGTATGTTTTTGTGACATTATCATGAATCATGACATCGGCCGAATACACAATATTGATGCAAGACAAGACCCATCCAGTGGACAATCTGCCATATTGCGGAAATTGCATGCGCTTTCTTGCTTTTTATTGGGGTTCAATATTTTATGGTTATGTTTACTAATTATATTTTTTACACATGGCATACAACTGTAACTGACTTTTACATTGTTTTTATTAAATATTTTATGCAGCACGTGACCGTCGGGAATGTTTTTTTTTTTTTTTTTAAAGTAAAATGTTCGTGCAATGTTGGTCTTGATATTCATACTGTAGGGCGGTTGAACCATATCGTGTTTCTCCCACGGTTCTTGCGTTTTCCGAATGTGGGATGCGGGTTGTAGGACAGATTGTCGTTATATCCCCTGGATTGTAGCGCATCACTGTAAACTGTAAATCTGTCTGGAGTTGTTGAAAGCTTCTTCGGATGCGTTTATGGACACCTGCTTGGATTTGCTTCAATATGGGAGGGGGTGATTTAAAGGTACATTTATGTAGATGGGTTGGTTGCCTGGTTTTCGATACGGTTGGTGCTCACCGGTTTGTAGACTTGGTGTTACGTACAGGCAGTTTAAATTATTATATATATTATATGGCTTCCGGCCCGTTGCCTCCCGGGCTTTTGTCACCCTAGGCCCGTTGCCACCCGGCCTTTTGCCACCCGGCCCGTTGCCACCCAGGCCCGTGGCTTCCCGCCCGTTGCCGCCCGGGCCCGTTGCCACTTCTAGAACAAATCATTACCAGACATTTGGAAGAAATCGTGTATTGACCCAGTACCTAAAAACATCGAATTCAAAGTATGAATAATCTAAGACATTAAAGTGATACATATATTTTTAGAATATAGAAAACTAAATATTTGTTCAATTAAAGTTTATTAAAATTCCACTATGTAAGCTAAGAAACGCTCGATGCTGCGAAACTAGGACTTCACAAATCATGCCCATACTGTGGTCCACTTGATCATCAAAAACAAACCAATTTAATTCATGTCTAACATAAGAAAATACATACAAAAAAAAAAGTTTCATAACATAAAAATATCACCCTCTTTTACGTTTGCATTGAAATATTTGTTAAGTTCACGATACAATAAAACAGACTGGATGTTGATACCTGTACAGATTGAATGAAAGCTCTAATGTTACCGTACGCGATTATAATAATACTTGCATAATTCTGCAACTAATGTAAAGTACTCATATCAAGACGGTGCTAGTTAAACAAGTTCATAACACAACTGCTTAAATTTTAAACAGTGTGGAAGTTAAACTGCTAGAAAAGAATGATCGCTATTGAAGAACAATTTCCTGCAGGTAAAAGTCATATGGGGAGCATTCATTCATGGTTGCTGCTCCTAATATGGAAGACTCTACCGTTCGTATTCGTAAGTCGCCATCCGTCTCTTTGTTTAAATCTCGTTTAAAAACTCACTTATTTCGTTCTCTTTGATTTTCCCTTTTCCATTTCTTGCCAGCTAGCTTTTTTGTAGTTCTATCAGGATAGGAGGCGCCCGAGTCAATCGGTGCTGGACAGGGTACATTTTGATAGATCCCTGCTCAGCGACGAGGACGCATCCCCATACTGCGGTTTGGGTGCTGGCTTGATTTTTTTCTTTTTTAATTTTCAATTACATCTGCCCACTTGTTCTGCACATACAGACTCTCGTGCGCAATATAAAAAACCCCTTTAAATAACCTTTAGATGTATACAATGAAGTAACATCGTCGGAGAGAGCTGCCCCACCCCGTTGGGTAAAGCAGGGCACCAACCCTGATACTGGCTGATGATAACCATAGGGCAAGTACAATAAAAGATAGACTAAAATGGGTCGTGCTGGTAAATTATTTTTATAAATCTAATGCAACATTTTAGAAGTGGGAACATTTATAACTCAAAAATTCAAAAAGAAACATGTTCAGCAAGAATAGGGCCTGTCCTTTATTTTTTGGCACGAAGTAGAGCCTGTAGTCATTGTTTGTGAAAATTACTTTCAGGAAGTTGCCGTGTTGTTTATTATGTTATGTAATGTTATATATTATATTATACCATAATGAAATGAATATCATTTATCACATTATTTTTATATTATCATATTATATCATTTTATTTATTGCCATAACAACCATTGAAATAACATGAAAATGTCAAACTAATGCAATAGTTTTATTATTTAAAAAAATGAAACTCATATACGCAGTAATTTCCTGCAAATTTGAATAATCGGAAGTTACTGTAGGTCAACTTTATCCTCTGGTGACGACACAGTCAACATTTGAACGAATCGAGTAAGGTTTCCTGTTAAACAAAAAGAATAGATTGTTGTAATTAATTTTAATTTAGCCACCAAATAATCAACATAAATTAATTAATTTAAATTCTTATTTCCTCCACCATGCCTATGTAGACAAAAACAATGAAAGGTACACAGTAAATTCAGATTTATTGTAATTCAATGTCTACAATAATTATATACATCTGAAAAAAATAATTTTAATAATAGATATATAATGTCAGACTTATATAGCGCTTTATGCCAACAAGGCTGTAAACGTTAAACCTACCAGGTACCTACTCTTGCCTTGCTTAATAATCTTTGTTTACGCCATCCACCCACAATTCAACTTATATTTAAAAAATCAGCACAAGCTCAGTCACAGTTAACTAAAACAAGCCAGTTATTTTTTTCAGGAAATCATTTGCCCAAAGTGAAACTCGCAAACGATTACCACCGCAAGCCTAACCTTCTTAATTTATACTTAGCTAAATTAAATAATTTATATATAGAAAGCTCTCCTTTTACCTGATATCTTTCCAGCTACTGCTACCTTAGTTTTTGGATACACTCCAATTAGATATGCTGGGACGACACTGAGAGTAAGCGCGAGGCCAACCAATGCATCAATTGGTGAGGATACTGTGGCCAAAACGACAGCACCAAATGAGATAGCTATTGCGATTAGTGGAAATATGATAGGAACCTATGGCATAAAAACAATGATAACATTAATCAACTTGTCATTATTACTTTTATGGATGGCACAATATAATAGGCCTATATATAGGCTGTCTCTTATACACATCTAGACATTAAAATAGTTCTGAAATTATAGATATATATATATATATAATTCATTAAAATAGTTCTGAAATTATAGTGGAATTAAGAAGCCTGGAATCTAGGTCTTCTAAAAACGTACCATGAATGGTTTGTGAATATCGGGCCTACACCATCTCATAACAAACAATGTCGAAAGAGCTAACGCATCACAGCAGGCACCAACAAACCCAAAATAGTTAAGTAATGTCCAAATGTCATTAACGAACACGTATATTACTGAAACGAAACACTGCAAAAAAGATTACCAATACAGTTAAATATTGCCACTATAGTAAGATGTTTAGTGCTTTAATTATTTGTTTGTATATCACTCCAGACTACATTAAAACAACATATGTAAGCCTACTATGTTTTATATCAAAGAATTACGTAAAAATGTAATGCTATTAGGCCTAAATGTAGGTAGGAAAATAACTCATAACTCGCAGCGTCATTGTGCTGAATTGCGTACTGGCGTGTTCTGTGACTCTAACCGCCATAAAGTTTTGCTTATAATAGTTACATGTTCACATCTTTCCATAACGACAGGGGTTAAAATAAACCATAGCATCTGGTTAACCCCCTACTTTTTCGAAAGATGCAATGGATTCTTTAAAGTGCACACGAGACAGATGTGTACACTGGACCCCCATTTTTAAGTCCTTATCCAAAAAGACTTGGTTGTACCAACCCTGGGAACAGTTTTCACTGTTCCCTGACCAACTGAACTCTCAGCGAGGAGGGACTCAAACCAGCCGATGTTTAGGCTATAGTTAGCGGCGCCCCTGTCTTACAACTCGGCCATTCTCCTCGCCTGGCTGCATGGCTATTGCCATCTTTAATGTATTGTTCTTGTTAATAATTACGTTACAGTTATTAAATTGATTTTAATATTGTTCCTAAACATATTTTACCGCTTTCAGTACTAATATAAACGTTATCAACGTTGTTACAATGTAAAAATATATTTTAGTACTTTAGGCTCAATTATAATATTTGTTTTGTCCTGGTCATCACTTACAGTGCCAAGATTGTAAAGCCTCCTATATTGGAGAAACAGAACGTGCATTTAAAACAAGATTTCTAGAACATCGAAGAAAGAGCTCTACTTCGTCGGAAGTCTCAAAACTTATTAACATTGAGTCACAGCGTCAAATTTGATAAGGCTAAAATCCTAACTGTGGAACCAAGATGGTTTGAGAGAGGGGTCAAGGAAGCAATCTACATCAGGGCCAACAGACCAACATTGAATGGAGATGGTGGAAGATATAATCTTCCAAACATATGGAACAACACTTTAAAGGCAGGAATGGAGGAGGGGGACATGGAACAGGCCCACCCAGCCTCACCGCTGACGTCACAATCCCTATGACGCAATTTCCATCGTGTGTCATTGTGAACAAG